ATATATATATAGGTGTATGTGTGTACGGATAGGGTTAAATAACCTACTAATGTTGATAAGGACGTTACGCCTATTCAATTTCACCATTTTTAGATGTTATTGGTGTCTATTGTCAAACAGTTAGGGGCTCTACCTTTGCACCCTGAAGAACCCAGTAAATTCGATTCCGATGTGAGGATGTATTAGTGTGTTTTTTGTGGGGGCTTTTTTGGTCGACTATCTCTGTCTGTCTACTGGGACATGGTATCAATAAATGATTTACATAGTGTCGATGGGGGAGAACAACATGTACAATGGCAATTAGGAACGTACTTTGTGGACGTAATAGTAATAGTAAAATTATAACTACTCCAGTGGATGACAAAAGCATTTCTAGATTCTTCGATACAATGACTATTTCTATTAAAATATTAACCCAGAAAATTGACTCTTTGTAAACTGAACATTAAGTCTTTCTTCGTGAAGCCAAACCATACTTTTATCCAGTATATCATATCGAGTGCTGACGTCATTAATATTCACAAAAATATTTTAAAAAACAATAATAAAATAATAATTTTCTTTAAAATATTCCTCTTTTATGATCTACTATTCTTCCACTGACTATCCAGAGTACATATTATGATGAAAACAAAACTAGTGTCTTCCACCAAAGTGTATGATACATGTACATTCTATTGGTGACACAGTGTGACTTCGGTTAGACCGAACGACCGACATATTGTAAGCTGTTTACTTCGAGTTCGATGACAGGTATTAAAGATCCATGATCAATATTGATCATGATATTTTAGTCAACCCACAAAAACTTGAGGCATTATTTAATGTTACATTAACGTCCAACTTACTTGGTATGCATTAAATATTTTCTTAAAGTGAAATACTGTTTTTATATTTCCTGCTTGTTCTGATGTTCCAAAGTTCCTTTTATTTGCTCATTATTATTCGGTACCAAGTATAGTATTTGCTTGTTGGTTTGAAAAGTCTTGAATCTGCATGTCTAGACTAAAAAAAAGCATAACATGGTAATCATATGAAAAAGTCGGCTTTTGAAATCGTTGCAGAGGGAGACGTGGGAAAACCCTAACGTCTGCCAGTGCAAAAGAAGCTTAAATGACTAAATGAATAAGGGACAAGTTTTAAATCGACAGAGTAATATTTTTTCCATTGATACTGTTCACAGACCCGAATTGCCCTCAGATCTTGTCTTTACTATACACAGGGCGCGATGGTGCAGGATTATAACAACCGTTATTTTAAACGATATTGGCCATGTCTCTCCTCCTTTGGAGAATATCAAAGAAGTCAAGATCTAAAGGGAGGGGGGTGGAACTTGTGCAATCTACTTCCTCTACTACTACTGCTCGAACAAAGCTGTATCGTGCTTACTGTTTAAGGTTGTCTGTAAAGACCAAAAAGGCCAAAGTGATCTGTAACTGTAACGCTGAAGTGCGAAGCTCGAGTCCACGTTAAGTTCAAAGTATATTCTTCGACCAGTTCGTAACGTTATCAAATCTACCCAGTGTTCTGACGAGAACCGGGGTCTGCCCTTTCCTAATGAGCTTCCTTGTGTTTGTAGAGTGCTAAACGTTTAACAGTTAATACAAGTCTTTTCTATACACACAGGAGTCTGGATGAGTTTCGTTCATGATCTTGATGGTAGTACTTTGCCCAGTACTACAGCAGCACATTTGTATGTGTAACATGATGACAATGAAGTATATTGTATTGTTGCGGTTGTCAATAAATCATGAAGACGAAAACAGTACGCAAAATGCAATGTTAAAAAGCCAATAGGAACCTGAAATTGACGCACAAATTTTAGGAAAGGTAAGTGGTATTCTGTAACTTTGTAACCCTTCTTCATAAGCAAACCAATTTGCAAGTTCCCAAGCAGCTGCACACAGTTAATCAGGTTACCATACCACTATGGGAGGCTCTCATGGCCTAGAGATTAAGATGTTCGCCTCTCATTCAAAGGTACCGGGTTCGAATCCGGGTAGCGACCGAAAACTTTTTTCTCTAAAATTGTCTCCTTTCTCCTCCTTTTATGCTCTCTTGCAATGTTCTGTCGTCTGCTTTCCTCTCCCCTTTCTTCCCCCATCCTCTCACCTCCTTTGTCTCCTCCTCTGGGCTCCTGACTCTCTTTGCAGTCTTTCTACAGCTACTCCTTGGTGCCTTCTTACCGCTGTCTTTCAGCCATACCCCTGATCTTTTGATAGGAAAGATCTACACCTAGCCTTCTCGGACAAGGCGAAAAATCTCGGAGGTCCCTTGTGCAAGTTGCGCACTTTAAAAATCCCTTGGTGGTCTAAAATCGGTAAAAGTAGGCTTCGGCCGCCACCCGGGCAAAATTCAACATTTTCTTCCCACTGAAAGTGTTTGGTGTGTCCCGCGCGATCATATGACCTTATTCAGTTGCGAGCACCGTAAAACACTTTTCTTTTTTTTTTTTAATGCCACGTTGCATTAGTAGAATTATTGCTAAAAATTCCACTTAATTTTCAAACGAGAGTCCTTCTTGCAGTACAAAACCCACCTATTACACTGTATCCGTGCTAAAAACAATCCCACCTTGTCGCCCCCTAAAGACACCGTGCTTGTATTAATTGTGCAAAAACATTTCAAGCCTTGTGAAAAACAATTTAATGCAATGGTCCAGGAGCGGGTGTATCACTCTGACTTCACGACCCGTCATCAATTCTGTGAGACTCAACAACTCGCATCTTAGCAAGCCGCATTCCTTTCCACAGTCATCACTTCCATAACCTCATTTCTCGGTGTGTTGTCCTTGGATAAATCGTCTTTGCTTGTATTTCTCAGAACTGACCCATTGGCCGAGCTGTGTGCCTCGTATTCGGACTTCCGAAACTTGTTACGAGATGATGAAAATTTTGATATTGACGTAAGATATATTCCACTACTTACCCCATCAGACTCTCTCCCACGTGTGCACTGACAAAGAATACGCCTGAAGGCCTTACGATACTCTGCGTTAAAAATTGAGTAGATGATGGGGTTGCAACACGAATTGGCATAACCAAGCCATGTAACGACGACGAAGACTTTGTGAGGTATCAGCGTCGGATCGTACGCCGCGATGGGGTTGATGATGAAAAAAGGGAGCCAGCAGATGAGAAATACGCCTGTGATGACTCCCAATGTGAAGGCCGCCTTGTAATCAGACGCCCGTTTGGAGGAGCGTGAAGATCCGTCGGAGACCGGTTGTCCGCCCGCAGACAGCTCCGGGCGCTTCATGGACTTAATGCTGACGGCGTGCGAACGCGCGAAAAGGAACAGTTTGAAGTATATGACGAGCATAACGAGACAAGGGACGTAGAAGGAAATGCTGGAGGAAACAAGAGCGTAGACAAAGTTCAGCTCCATGATGCACTGTGGTTTGGGGCCCATAATGTGAGATGAGGTCGTGGTGTTGAAGCTTAGGGTTTTGTCGTTGTTCAGAACATTGGGTGAGGGTGAGGAAGTGCGTTTGTACCAACCCAAGTGAACAGGCAAGATAGAAATGAGAGCGGAGAGAATCCACACAGAAATGATGAGCACCAGAGCTTTACATGTGGTCATCCACGTGTCGTAATACAAAGCCTTGTGGATGTGAATGTAACGATCAAAACTAATAACGCACAAGTTAAGAATCGAGGCAGTAGAGCACATTATGTCAAAAGAAATCCAGGTGTGACAAAAGACGGGTCCAAACAACCATTCATGAAATACATCGTTGGTCAAGGCAAAAGTCATGACTGCACAGGCTACCAAGAGATCAGCCACTGCCAGGGACACGATGAAGTAGTTGTTCTTGACCCGCTTCAGCCTCCGCTCTGTGAAAACGGCTGCACAAACTAAGAGGTTGCCACTGATCGCGAGGAGAATGCAGAAGGAAAAGAACATTCCTTTGAGCACTTTGATCCCCACATCGTCTTCCTCAGGTGAGGTGTCATCCACCACGGGCGCCCCGCTTTGATTGGACGAGGTGACAGCATGATCTGGCAAGCTGCTGCTGGGTTGACCTTCTCCTGAGGTCAGAAAGTACGTTGGGTTCGTGAGTTTGAAGTTCATGATCATGTGAGCATGTCCACCTCAGACAGAATCAGATCCACATTACACTCTGGAAGAGCTGGACGAGAGATCATGCGGTGGTCGCTTTGCTTCAGAGTATGCTGGAACGAACATTTGAAGTTTGTGTGCTGGACAATGAATACGCAGTAAACAATGGCACATTTACTTTGAAAAAGTAACAGTTGGCCTCTCAGTTCGGAAAATGTGATTTTAGATACCTAAAAACCGGTGAGGCGTCATCCATCACGTGCGCCCCGCTTTGATTGGACGAGGTGACAGCATGATCTGAAGAGCTGCTGCTGGGTTAACCTTCTCCAGGGGTTGCGAAGTACGTGTAGCTCATGAAGTTGAAATCCGTGATCTTGTGAGCATGTCCACTTTCAAACAGAATCAGAATCACATTGCACTCAGGAAGAGCTGGGAGAGAGATGGTGCGGTGGTCGCTTTGTTTCAGAGTATGCTAGTACGAACATTTAGAGACTGTGTTTTGGACTATGAAAATACTCCAAAGTATGGTTCATTCTCTTTGAAAAAGCAGCAGGTGGACTCTTAGTTCTGAAAATGTAAATTTAGACACCTAAAACGTTCTCAATTCCCGGTCGTTTACATCTCAAGTGATCTTTTAAATTAAATTTTACCCTGTGCATTCACTAAAACAACCGGTGATGCCATCAACTGCTCAGTTCACAGTCAATAACTCCTCTTTGATGGAATCCGACATTACATCAAACTGATGGTCGTTACTTGATCTACACCTTGAAGCAGACAGCGTGGGTAATTCTTGAAGTTTGCGATTCTTACCGCTCCCAGTCTGAAACATGGGTAAAAAAAAAAGAAAGAATTAATTAGTGCATTTACATTTACACAGACAAAATGAATAATAAAAGTGAACAGCTTTTCGTGCCCTTGAGGATTTTTCAGTCTTTTCGTTTTGTTTACGACAATGACATCTAACAGAGGAAAAGCCCTCAACAGAAATAATACACATTTAATATACATATTCAAGTAATGACTCATTCTTTATACGCCCCTCCCCGCATTTCACGCCATCCTCTGTCTGTCTGTCTGTCTGTCTGTCTGTCTGTCTGTCTGTCTGTCTGTCTGTCTGGCTTGCTGGCTGGCTGGCTAGCTGGCTTGCTGGCTGTCTCTGTCTCTCATCTCTCTCTCTCTCATTCACATATAATCAATCTGACATACACAAAAACATACGCATACGCGCACACACACACACACACACACACACACAAACTCACACACACACACACACACTCACACACTCACACACACACACTTTAAAACACACGCACACACACACACACACACACACACTAATACACACATACTTACAGATAAACACACACACACACACACACACAGAGAGAGAGAGAGAGAGAGAGAGAGAGAGAGAGAGAGAGAGAGAGAGAGGCAATTACACTCGTACACGTGCCCGTTCGCAGGTGTTTTTTTTTTACAAGAATAACAACTAGACAGTTTTTAACTTCGCCTTCTTGACAACTCTTTTTCTGCGCGTGTCAGGAGCAGCATGAGCTCTTGTAATACTTCGGCTCTCTTCTCAATTAGCTGGTGAATACATTTTTTAAACAATGCGAAAACAAACAATATTTTTACCCAGTTGCTGATATTGTAAAGATGGGGAAAATTCCGATATACTGCCAAGTTCATTGTCAAGTAAATGAACACAGAAATTGGGGTATACTGTCTTACCAAGCTGTTGTTGTTTTAGAGGGGGAGGGGGTTTGTTGTTGTTTTTTTCTGCACGCGACTTGATTTCACGACTTTAGCTATTTTTTTTATTAAAGAGATTTGCAAATCAAATCTCTCGCGCAATGATCAAAACGGCTTTACTGAATTAAAACACAGGTCACGGGGGTGACTCAAGCGTAGACGGAACGTTCTCGAAGAGCAAATGGGCAAAACGCGGAGAAAGACAAAAGATCCCGCGAAAGAACCCGTTATACAGTCTGCACCTAATACAGGGTGCCCACTACGGATGGGATCGGGCCGATTACCCTACTCGGTCGCCTAAAAAACAAACGTGTTTGTTTTCAGTTTCATGTATCGAGTGGGGGGATTGGCCCGATCCAGCCGTATTGGGCACCCCATATTACGCATCATCAGCTCACAATGTTTTGCTGTCGTTGTGAACTCACTCTGTGAACAAATATGTGGCGACTGCACTTAACTCCACTATTTTCTCCTCCGCCCTTTCCAGAAATACTGGTGTTTATAGAATTTGGTTTCCGAAAATGTAACGGTTTTAAGTTAAATTTGTGTCAATGAATAAATAATTTATTTGTTCTAATTGCCTTTGCACCAATTCCAGTAATACTGGTGTTCATGGAATGTGATTTTCAAACATAATTTAGTGTTTTGGTGGGGGTTTTTTGTTACTGAATCGATTTGGGGTTGTGTTTTTTTTTTGGGGGGGGGGTTGTTGGCTTTTTTTAAAGGCTTTTTTTTGTTGTTGTTTGTTTAGTTTAAAGCTTGTTTTTTGTTTGCTTGTTTTTGTTTTGTTTTGTTTTATTTGTTGGGTTATTGTTGTTTTTTTTGTTGTTGTTGTTTTGTTTTGTTTTTGGGTTTTTTTGGGGGGATATTTTTTTCTGCCCCAACGAGATGTCAGATGTAATTTGGGGAAGGGATCACCAAAATGTCATATAGAGTTATCATTGGACATGAGCACTAGAAAGGAAATATAAGAAGAGTTTGGTCTTTCCGCACCACGAGCCGGCAGTGCTTCCCCACAAGATCTCACTTTGGTTTGTGTGACTGAGTACACTCTATCAGGCATCGGCTTACAGGCCAATTTATCCTATCAAGCTTCCATCAAACGACTGACGCTCCGATGTGTAAGGCAAAAAAAAACCATAATAATTGAATGGAAAAAAAACTAGTAAGAAAAACGTTGTTTTATGGATATTTTGCAGAACGCATATTTACGGGCGACTGTGGTGTAACTTTTAGGCGCCTCGCCGTCGCACACAAGAAAACCCCCAGTTCGATTCCCATGTGGCGACAATTTTTACTGAGTTTCTCTGTCGTGTTGCTGGTACATTGTATCCCTGTTTGCCCGGGTTGGCCTTGACAGGCAGGGTCGAAGCACGCCTTGTAAATGATCTAATTTGTGTGGACTGGATGAAGGCGTAAACACGCCTACATATTATTTTATAAAATGATCTATTTCAATTTTGAGATAGTGTACCCCGAGTGCACTTATATTTCTATTCATAAATAAACTTAAATATGACCTGGTTTCATGTTTTTCTTCACTCTGAGGTGTTGGATATATACCCATTTTGACTCTCTGACTTGAGACGTCTGGATAGAGACAAGCTGGGCACAAAGAACGCAGTGTAGTACAGTTCGTTAGGTGCACCGTAGGCCTATCAAATTACGACGTGACAGATTTCTTTTACCGCCCAAAGGGTGCTCAGAGACTGAAACAAAGCAATCACATCCACATGTCCGGAATGCTTTGTCTCACATCCATGAATTAATATTGAAAGCTAAACTTGATTTCCTTAAATAGATATCTCCTCGACAAAATGGCTTCGACAGAATGTTCTCCTGAATGTTCAATGGAACTGATTAGAATGCTTCTCGTCTTCAATAGATAAGGCACCAAAGACCCGTAACTACGTCTATAAGCTTCGCTCTTTCCCGGAAAACACCCCCACCCTCCCCCCTTCCAACAAAAAAACCAGCAAAAAAGCTGGTATGAAAACAGTAAGGTGTAAAGGTTATTTTTTCATCAGCTTCAATGGAAATGAATCTTACAGACTTCAACATAAGTTAAGGGTCACCTTGACAAATAGCTCCTTTTTTTTAATCCGAAAAAAAGACAGCAAGGAATGTTTCAAATTCTTTTGCCTTGAAAGTGTCAATGGGCTACCAATGCATACTACAAAGCTTCCTAAAGGGACAACACCACGTGCAGCACGGAAATCCTCGGGGAATTTTAGCCACATTTTCTGTTTTTAATCGACTTGTGGGAAACACGACGGACATTTCTCAGTTAAATTTTCTGGTGCACGTTATAAGCAAACGTATAGTCCCGAACTGTGCTCAATTTGGTGGCAATATAAGCCGCCTTTTGCACAAAATCCAGTATCGCGTCAACTTGCCACCAAGACGAAAGCTGAGAAACTTTGATCATGCCAGAGCTATGGCATGGCTGCAGAATGGAGTTGGAGCCCGAGAAGTGGCCAGAAGGCTTACTGCAGTGTCACACTCCGTCATTGTCCGCTTGAGTGAGGCAGCGTCTTCAAGTCACTGGATCAGTCCAAGAACGCACTCGTGCAGGTCGACCCAAGAAAACCGCTCAGAGTGTTTGCAAGTGGTCCTTAACTTATGTTGTAGTCTGTATTATTATCATTACCTTTGTCATCGCTGCAATGATTTTTATTGTCGTCACCATCACTTCACGCTTCGTAACTTGTAAAGCTCTAGACAAATTACGTTCTGTAAAGTGTTTAAATCTAAAATGAGATATTTCAAAAGGTAGACTGCATCACTTGTTCTGAAAGAAAAAAAAACGGGCTGTCGTACACGCGCGGCGCTTTAAAGTAGAAACAACATAGCAGACAGCAATCTCCCAGTACAATATTTATTACGTTTAGATAATCACGCTACTCAGTAAAATACCCAGGATGAAGAAATTTAATCTTAAGTGGAGTTTTGTAAGTGTTTTACGGCGTTCGCAACTGCCAAAGGTCTGATGAGCGAACGGGACACAAGAAAAGTTCAGTTTGGTAGGAATTAATTTTGAATATTTGCCTATTCTTATCGATTTTGGACCACCAAGGGATCTTTAACAAGCGCAACTTGCTCACGGGATCTCCGAGATTTTTTGCCCTTATCCGAGAATGCAAGGTGTTAGATCTTACCTACCCTAAGATCAGCGGTGTGGCTGAAAGACAGAAGTAAGAAGGAGCCAAGGAGAAGCAGTAGAAAAGCTGCAGAAGAGTCCGGAGCTCAGAGGAGGGGACAAGGGAGGATGGGGGGGGGGCAGAAAGTGGAGACGGAAGCACCAGACAGAACGTTGTCAGAGAGCAGAAAAGGGGGTCAACGGGAAAATTGTATTTATTTATTTACAGAAGGAAATTTCCCATCGCTGTTAGGTTTCGAACCCAAAACCTAT